ACTCTTCTAGTGCTCCTATTAATACTTCTCATAAATACCTTTGATCCTGTTTATGATAAAAGCCCCCTCCCTATCAGCAGTGAGAGTGGGGAGGAGCAGAGCAGGCGAAAGGATGGAGATCTGTATCCTGCTACTGTCTATCTATGTCCCGAGGCCAGGACCTGCAGCAACCCTTAGCAACATCCAGTATTTTTGAGGTTCCTGAGGAGGGGACTGAGGAGTTGAAAGACGCATAAGGTCTGCCTATGAGTGGTGGACAAGGCTTGCTGTGTTAAGTGGGAGCATATGTGGGGTCTGCTCTGTGGGCAGTGGTATGGGACTGTAATGACACAAACTCCCTTCACTTTACCCCACAAGGGCTTTCTTTTTAGATGCTGGAACCAGCGAAACTCTTATCTATAGTGAGTGTCCTTTCTGCCTTTTAAAATGCTTGGATTTTCTTTCAATGGATTTCTGTTAATATGCATATTTAGGCAGAGAAAGATTGTGTCTTATTTCTATGGAGTCATTTATAATAATATGAACTGAAATTCAGACCATCTTATGAGGTGTATAAATACGACCAGAGGCTAAAACGCACTGGGAGCATCTAACAAATGTAATAAGTTATTTTTGTAGCAACAACAATATTTTAAATACAAATTCTATTGAGAGTGAATATGAGGATTTATTAGCTAATATTTATAAATCCATTTAAGCTGCTCAGATAAATGGATAATCTAAATAGTTATGGTTAGGAAGGCTGAAATGGGTTTGAGCTTGGCGACATAAAAACTTCATCCCTTGGCTTCTTTCCCCAGCATTCTGCAGGTGAACATTTGAAGCTTTGACCTTCAAGATTTCAAAGGCAGGAGCTGAGATGTGTGTACACAGAAGGTATGTGTCTCTTGAAATTTGTCTCTTTTAAGTTTGACACTCAAAAGAAAAAAATATGGTTAGTAATTTGATCGTCATGCCCAAGAAAAGGGTACTTTTCTCTGTGAGGCAGTATATCACAGGGGTTGAGAGTGCAGGCTCTGGAGTCGAACTCCCTGGGTTCCCATCCCAGTTCTGCCGCTTGCTAGCTATGTGGCCTTGAACAGGTCACTTAACTTCTCTATGCTTCAATTTCCATCCTTCGATGGCTTGGATATCTGGAGGCCAATGTGCCAAATGGCACATGCCTTTTCTACCAAACACCTTACTGATCATGAGTGCTTAACATATGCAAAATATGTGAGTAATGCTTTTTTCATCAGTCAGTATTCTCATCTGCAAGCTGGCATTAACCATTATGCCTTGCTGCGACAGGGAGATTTCCTGGAAAACCAGAAGCTCCGAGAATGGAAGAGAGGCAGGAGGGCGGAGTTTGAGAAAAGGGCAAGAGTCAAGGATGCTGTGGAGGCAGGCAGCAAGAGCCACACCCAGGTCACTCCAGGGACTGCTCCCGCCCTCGGAACTCCTCTGCCACTGGGAACATCTGACCTCCAAACATTTCCCCCGTTCCCTCCGTTCCCCAGCTTCAGAGTCCTGGAATCAAGGCTATTTGGCTGAGTTTCTCGCATGGCTCTTCCTGCCCTCGTCCCTGCGCTGTTTCTGGAGGGAGTAAAAGATGTACCTGACCCCCTTGTTTTCCATAGCGGGGGGCGGCGATGGAAAGCAGTCACTGGGATCTGTCCTCTTGCCAAGATTTCATAAAATGTACAATTCTACCGGCAGGAACATGTAGTGCTTAGAGTGGACGTATGTGGATTCTTGGTAGTCAAAAAAATCACAAATCTCTGCTTTACTTGTATAAGACTTCAAATTTTCCTCAATAGCCCTGTTAGCAGTGGTGTGCTGGTAAATCTTTAACAACTGGCTCCCTGGCCCTGATTTGTAGCATTTGTACATTTCCACAGGGCAAACAGTCTCACCGTGGCCAATTTCAAGCTACCCACATAGTATCTGAACACAGTTCGGAAGAGATGTACAGTAACATACCATTATATAATATTTCAGCCAGACAGCTACAACAGATGTAAATAACCTCAAGTGCATAGGTAATTGTGAAATAAATAGTGAAATAAAAAGTAGCAAAATAATTAGGAAATGATGAGTTTTGAGTATTTATTACCTTTGTTGTTAATGTAATTTATTTAACTGTAAGTTTCTATGATTTAATTTTTAATAATAGCTGTATTTTAACAAATGGCTTGCAAAATTTTTGAAAAAACATTTATGAAACTGCTCTAGCACACCGCTGTCTATGAAGTGGATCAATAATGTTATTGAGAGAGAGAGAGAGTCCTTACACAGTAAGATGCTTGGTGAGAGGCCTAGGACCTGGAAATTAGTCTATGACATCTGGGACCCTGACTAACAGAGTAATAATGGTATCTGAGATTTACCTAGCAAAACACTCTCTCACTCAACATCCTACTCTTTTTTGATCCTTACAACAAACCCAAGGAAAAGGTAAGCAAGGTGTGTTACAGGTGAGGGGACAGAGAGTCACAGACCTGAAGTGACAGGTGGAGCCGAGACTAGAATTGGGTCCTTGAGACTTCCAGTTCACAGCTTTTTCCAAACCATCCTGTTTCTTTGAGCCCCCCCGACATCACTGGAACAGCCATTTATTACAGGCAGCCCAGTAAGTAATCCGGGAAGTATATGTCAGGCCTTATGCCCTGAATTCAGTTCAGGGGGCTTACTTGTATCTTCACAGGTAAAGAATGAAATACAGTTGGAGACCGACAGAGTGGGCAATGATAACCTGTTGTATGCTAATACAGCTTTGATAGCCAGACTCCAAGATGGCCCCCGATGGTCCTTACCCTCCAGTGTTCATGTCCTTGGACTCCTATGGTGAATAGGGCTGACCTGTGTGCCTAATAGGCTATTGCAGAAGTGATGGTATACGACTTCTGAAGCTAGCCACACAGGGCGCGCGCGGCAGCTTCTGCCTTCTTCGCTTGGATCACTTGCTCTGGGGGAAGCCAGCAGAGCGTTGTGAGGACACCCAAGCAGCCCTGTGGAGAAGCCCACATGGGAAGGAACTGAGGCCTTCCACCAACAGCCAGCACCACTTGCCAGCGATGTAAGTGAGCCACCTTGGAAGTGGATCCTCCACCTCCAGAGACGCCTTCAGATGACCGTGGCCCTGGCTGACATCTGACTGTAAAAGCTGCACCACGTGGGCTATGGGTGATCCTAATCAAATATAGAGAGGTGTAGAGACTTAAAGGAGAACTTTGAGTAAATTGATTTTGTTGTTGTTCTGTTTTTGCTTTTCACCAAAGAAACTGAAATTCCAGTCAATATTCTAAAGCTTTGTACAATATAGCTTTTGAAAGCCATTTTGTTCTTAATGCTTTTCTAAACGACCTGTTGTTTATAGAAAAGTGCACTCTATGCTTAGCGCATTTGCAACTCTGAAGAGCAAGGCAGCTTGAACTGGATTCACTCAGCACCTTTAAGTCATCTCACAGCACGAAGTCATCTCACAGCCTTTTAGACCCCACCTGCACTGTCACCTTTAATTCTTTTGGGTCTCCGGGCCATGGCATCGCCTGCCCTTTGGGAAAGCCGGGACAGGGGAAAATAATGCAAGAAATTAATTAGGAAGGGAGGGGGCTAGGGACCTCAGTGGATGTTGGGGGTGGAAATCTTAAGATCATTTGCAAAACACCAGCCCCAACACCTCCTGGGAGGCTGGCTCGTGACCTCTTCTCCTGGTGTCCCCGCCCGCTTAAGTTCGCTCCTAAAAAAATCCGCTCACGTCCCCAAGAGCGCAGGCGAGGATCTCAGCGAAGCAGGAGGCTCTCGTGCCTGCCGGGAGAGTCGGAGCCGGGCTTACACCAGCTTCTTGGCGCGTCTCCTCCGAACCGTGAGGGGCCGAGCAAGGACCCCGGAGTAGGCGCCCAACGTGGGGCGCCCTCGCGCTGGCCGGAGGAGCCTCGGAGGTGGGAGCACGGGCGGCGCGCCTCGCCGACCAGCTGCAACCCGCACCGAGCGCGCACCGCCAGCGAGCGCGGCGCCTCCAGCATGGAGTGGGAGCTTAACTTTCTGCTCTACCTGGCGCTTTTCTTCTTCCTGCTCTTCTTACTTTTCCTGCTGCTCTTCGTGGTCATCAAGCAGCTGAAGAACTCGGTGGCCAGCACGGCCGGGGCACTCCAGCCCGGTCGCCTCTCGCTGCACCGGGAGCCTTGGGGCTTCTCCTGCGAGCAGGCGGTGTGAGCAGCAAGGAGCGCAGGAACTGGCGGGAGGGCACGGAGCTGCGCGGGCGCCGGGCCGGGTCTCGGCCTCGGCTCTCCGTCCACGCGGCCGCCCAGGCTCCAGGGCCAGGCTCGGCTGCAGCGCCGGCAGGTCCGTTCGGGCATGGAAGGGGTCGGCAGAGGAGCGCGTTTCTCCTTTCCTCCGGGAGGCTCGGGGCTCGCGGCGCCCTCGGCTGCCAGGAACCGCGGGTGCATGGGCTCTGGCTGGCGCTGTGCTCTTGGGGACTGACCCCGAGCTTTGCCGGGCCGGGGGGGGGAGAGAGAGAAAAGAGAAAAGTTCGGCCTTTGGAGCCGGAGTGGCTTTAGGCACCTGCAACCTCTTCTTCCCAGTCTAACCCCATTTTAGCTTGTACCCAAGGGGTGGAAAACTAAATTATTCAGATAATCCAGTCCAGCCACTTCCAAAGTCGAATGTCAACCTAGATATCCAAATTATTGATAAAGTGTGGGCTTTGGGACGGGAGGCGGGAGGAAACGGGGCGCACTTGAAATGTTTTAAATACTGCTTTAAATATCTCTGCGCTTCGGGGGACGCTGAATGAGGTTCGACTGGCGGTCACGGGGAGAGACGATTCAGCGGCCCATTTTTTATGGGGAATCCCTCCCTCCCTTTGGTCCCTACTCCTGTTCTAGCCACCGACCCCGTTGGTGCGCGCAGGTTGCCGCGCCGGGTGGGTTTCGAGTCTGGAACAGCGGGAAGGTGAGCGTTAGAGTGAGAGTCGTTTGGGAGATGCCTCGGGGTTGCCAGGGAAGGTTGGCGAAAAGATGTACCGTTTACACGTTGTGGGGCAACGGGAAAAGGAGGACCTGAGGAACGAGGCTGTCGTTTCAAGTTACGTGATGAGAGCATCTGCGGGGAGATCGATGGGCAGGAGTAAACTCGCCAGTGTGCCCTAAGCGCTCTCGGGGCAATGTTAGTTTGGGAAATAACTACTTCATCTTCCAGACGCTGTTTCCTCGAGTTATGTCATCTCGAGTTCTGGAGCCGAGCTGCTGCCCTGGACTGGTGCGCCGAGGTCCGCAGCTGCCGTTCCGCCGGGCGATGGGGAATCCTCCCCGGAGAAGACCGGAGACGCAAGTTTTCTGCAAATGGTAAGCGGGGACCACACTTGATTTCACTTTGTCCCTGGTTATGGCTAAACTTCTGAAGACCCGAGGCCTAAAAAAGTGAGAGATTAGGATGGAGGAAATGGGTGCAAGGAGATAAAGGACTCTCTCCCACTCAGAACCGGTGAGCTTCTACTGGAACCAAGGAGCAAAACTGAGGCCTAACTCAGTGCGAGAATCGGGTGCCCGGGAAGAGGATCATAGAAAGTAGAATGGGATGCGAAGAGTGTTTGCAATTTTAATAATCATTCCCCTCTTTTGGAAAACAGTGCGGGGGTTCTTGGAGGGAAATATGTAAAGCAGATATAATTTGTCTTCAATAAGGGAAGATTTGGGTTCAGTCACTTTGGGGTATGATAAGCAGTCCGTGTCATGACTGTAATATTAAAAATATTTATTAATTTAGGCACATGGAGAAAGACTAAAAAGAGCAAAATACTAAGTAGTGCATAAGTTGATAATATGAAAGTGAAGTGGAAGACAGTTATTTTGATAATTCAAGGGAAGGAAAAAATAGTCTCAGGTGAATAATTATGGGCAAAGTTTCTGGCCTGAGACATTCAGATAATTTCCCACATTTTTCTATTTCACTTTGCTAGAATGGACCTGTTGTTAATGAAGTAAGTGGTTTATTTTAACTATAAAGTCATTAGCAAATTCTGACTTAATATATGTACACCTCTCTTTATCAGAGCTATGGTAAGACTTGATTTGAATTCCCAGTTTGAATCCCAGAATCAACTGCAGTGATTCTATATTGTACTTTGAACAATAGTTCTCTAATTGGTTGACACCTCTGCAGTGGCATTTAGTTATAGAGTTGTATGGTTAACGTGGACATTGAAGATGAGTGTGGGAGTAATTAATTAGCAATTATAGTTGTTTACAAGGATGGAGAACAATCACTTCATATAAATAAATAACCGGAATGCAAATTATTTTAACCACCTACCTGACTTCTTGATTTTGTAATCCTTTAATCTTCCTAGCAGTGCCACTGGTGTCCAGAGGTTTAAACCACCCCTGACTCTTCTAGAGAGGAGACTATAGAGAATTCAGGGTGAGTAGTTTGCCACCATCCCAGTATTAAGCCAATCTCTTCACTGGTTCTACTAACTCTGTTTCCTATGAAAGGAGTGGTTGCCTTTCTATCTTGTGTCCAGTGCCATTTTATAACCTCCTTATAATCAAATTCCTTAGTTACTAAATTCCATTTATTCAAGCAAAAAATAAATATTTATTCCTATTACCCAGTCTCTGCCTGGAACTTGGCCCTAAACTCTGGAAATTACGGTTCCTCACATTTGCTCCCAGAACTTGCTGCTGTTGGTCTCCCGCCTTGCCCTTGCTTTATCAGAGACTCTGCTTTTGAAACTTTGACTTTTGTATATGAGCTGCCTTTTTCTATTCATTTATTCAAAATCATGTTTCCAAAACCCAATATAGACTGATCTCCCACATTTGAACCACTTTTGAACTGACATTTTTTGCTACCTGTATACAATCTGATCTGATACTCTGACACCTGCAGTGCACTAGGTTCCAGGCTTGTACGTGTTGGCTGCTCCATCTGCTGACCACACCCTGGTCCTGACAATCACTACACTGAGTCTATTTTTGAAGACAATGTACGTATGAGCTAGACACGAAAACATTTGAAAAGTCAAGAACACTTAAAATAACGGCTCGATATATGAGTGTAACTTGATTATAGAAGATGCCTATGTTTTATTTTCAATAAAAGGTTTTTAGTGACTCTTCAGCAATGCTAAAAGCTGAGTTGAATTTCTTACATTATAAGGAAATGGGCCATAATTTGGTTATTATGTAATATTAGTATTTTATTTCAAGTGTTCTTATTTCATTGTTGTTTCTAAATTTCGGCTGTTTAAAGTGACTTCAAATTTTATTAAGATAATCTTAATCGTTTTACTGATTTCCAAACTTGTAAGTGCAATGAGTCTACAGTTCTACTTGGAAAGATAACCATTTTAAATTGAATGAGAATGACATCACACTCACACCTGCAAAATCTAAAATGTCTAATAAAGTAGATTCCTATGTCTGAACTTCAATTTTAGGGCACAGCTGTAGATGCAGGATTGATGCCATCTGGTGAAATTCCACAGAATAAGAGATAAAATTTACCCAGAGTGTGCCATGTACTGGCTTTTCTGGGAATGACATGGTGCCAGGATTTGTTTTTGGTTCACTTGCAGGGGTGGAAACTTGGAACTAGGTGAGTAAAAAAATATGCAATATCCCATTTTTGGCTTGACATTTTACGTTTCCAATTTTGTCTATAGTTTCAAAATAAGTGCAATAGAGTTATATTTTTTAAATGGCCAAAATTTTAAACATTGTAAATGGTTAAACCATTTAGGTAGGATAGGGGGAAATGCTTATTTTTTCTAACTCATACCACTAATCTAGGGACTTTTAGAATACTAATGGTACTAATGTAGTACCTAGAGAGTATTTGCAGAGTACTGTATCTTGTTTTTAATTTTTATAGCTACTCTGAGGTACTTGTGCTTATTTAAGGTAAATCCACAATTAAAACTCAGGGATTAGGAAATCACTGTCAGGTGTCTGTGTCACATACAAGGGAAAGTTAAAAATTGACTTGTAGATCTTTGATGTTGATTTTTTTTTGGTTTGAATCAGTGAAATAAATTCTCAATTCTCCACTTCTTACTTTGTCTACACGAAATAAAGTTATAGATTAAATAATGATCTCATTAATTTTCTGAATAGTTAGCATCTGACTATATACGAATTTGGGTCATCAGAAGATCAGACCTGTGTTTAGAACAGTAATCAGAACATAATAGGCACTTTGAAAAAAACTTCCTGATGGATTGAGCTAAAAATCCTCTTATTTTCCTTACTAGCAGTTATTTTTTACATAATAAGCCTAATCATTTCCTCCTCTCTTGGTCTGTGTAGACGAGGGTGGGTTCAAGTCAAAATTTTTATATGTAACTTTTTATTATACTCCACCATTTTCTTAGTATGCCTCTATGAAGTTACTTGAACTTATTGAATATATACAGATTCTTCAGGCCAGATATTTTTTACTTTCAGATGGAAATCTTGCTTTCTTATGGGGAATCAAGATGGACTGCTATCTCGAAGTTACTGGACTGAACAGTGGCTTAAACAAAGTAGGGGTTTTGTTTGGTTCTCACGTAATGAGGAGGTCAGAGGTGGGCTATTGCTGGTGTTGGTTCAGCAGCTCACGGATGTCAGGGTCAAGGTGGCCCCTGAGGTTCCATTGGCTTTTCCTTCAGGTTCCAAGATGGTTGCTGCAGCTCCCCGAGAGAGGATGGAGGAAGCCCAGAGGGAAAACAGGGTGTGCCAGTGTGAATCTGCTTCCTTTAAAGAGCTTTCTCAGCAGCCCAACAACTTCTGCTTACATCTCATTGGCCAGACTGTGTCATTGGCTACTGCTATGAAATGTAGTTTTTGTAGCTGGACATATAACTGCCTTCAACAAAAATCTGAGTTCTCTTGATAAGGAAGAAGATGATGGCGGATCTTGGGCGAACAACTAGCAGTCTGTGCCCTGGCTACAAAATACAGTTGTAGAGAAGCATAATGTTTGAAACAGATCAAAACTGTAGCTCCTTCACGTCTGGCAACACTCCAAACATCCCTACTCTGCTCTGAGACAGTGAGCAGAGTGAAGACATGCTGGGTTTTCTCATGAAACACTTGCCAGGACTGACCTCCTCTCTCAGCCAATATATTTGCCCCACATCAGGATTTTCTAGAGGAGGACCCTGGAAACCTGCACGCTTTCTCAGTGGACATAATCTCTTTATGGAGGTTTGGAATGGGATAAAGAATGTTCTACCTTGCTGCTTCTCCATCTGTTTCATTTATCTCTTCTCTAATTTTCCTGACAGATTTTTGGTGGAATCTAGTGTATGTATTTGATCCCTATAAAAGGATCATCCTTTTCATGCAGAGGGGAGGGTAATCTATGAAAAGAAAAGCTACTTGACTCCCTTCTCTGACTCTACCACCAATCTAGGAATATCCTGGGAGAAGAATTGCTTCTCAAAGCTGCTTCCATCAGCAGCCTACATCCTGGCTCAGCAAAGGGAGAAGAAATGCTTCCCACATCCACGGCTGTCCAAAAGAACTTTCTGTGATGACAGAAATGTTCTATATCTGCACTGTCTAAGACAGTAGCCGCTAGCAACATGCAGCTAGTGAATGCTTGAGATGTGGGTAGTGTGACCGAGGAAGTAAATTTTACTTTTTTTTAGTTTTAAGTAATTTAAATGTAAGTAGCCATATGTGGCTAGTGGCTATTGTACTGTAGAGCACAGTACACATTTTTCTCTTTCTTGTGTTTTAGAACAAGCTGGGGAAGGTTTGAACCAGTCATGTGCTTGGTCTTCCATGATCTTCACTATTCCACCTTGCCATTGAACTTGTCTCCCAGAGGAAAAAGAAAAATGATGTTTTGGAACTAAATTCAAGATATTAACTTGACATCTACACATTGCACGTGTTCCTGTATAAACAGAATGGTCTCCTGGGAATAGGTCCTGTGATTGATTTAGTGATGGTTGGTAATGGCAAAATGGTGGTGTTGGTCCACTTCACATTCCTAGTGAATATTATGTGTTCCTAGTCAGGGTGAGTCAGCAGAGATTATTTTATTCTGTTGTGCAATTCATTCTGTGTTACTTTACTTTTATAACATTGTGGCTGCTAAAATGATTATTCCATGTATGTTTTTCAAAATACTTAGTGGTTTATATTTTTTAAAAGGCTGTGAAATAAAAAAAATAATTATGTGTGATATAATTTGTGCGTGAATTATTATTACCCATACTTTTTGAAGAGTTACTTCGGATGAGATTAATGGATGGAAGGAAATATTTATTTTTATGTCAGATTTCCTTTTCGATAGGCATGTCTATACGCCAATTAATGTTATCTTTTTAAAATTTTAAATGATTCTGTCATTGTATTCAGAGTTTGGGTACAATCTGAGGGTAATGATGGTATTGGGTTAATTCTTTTCTCAAGTGTCTTATTGTTTTTCTACAATGAGCATCCTTTGAATCTGGTTTTAGTGCCTTGTTGGAGGTTGCTTGTCCTTTATTATTGAGCTGTAGGACTTCTTGATATATCCTAGATATATCAGATATATGCTTTGCAACAATTTTCTCGTAGTTTGTGGCTAGCCTATTGATTTTCTTAACAACGTCTTTAAAAGAGGTATTTGTAATTTTGAAGTTAAATTTATCCATGTTTTTATTTTATGTTTATTGCTTTCTGTGTCCTCTCTAAGAGGCTTTTGCCTATCTTGTAGGTCACCAAAATATTCTCCTATGCTTCCTTCTAGACTAGAAGCTTTATAGTTTTAACTTTCACTACATCTATTATCCATCTCTTAATTTTTGTGAATGGTATGAGGTAAGGATTGAGGTTGTTTTTTTTTTTCTCCCGTATATATGACCATTTTCTTCCTCCATTTGTTGAGAAGACTTTCCTTTCCCCATTGCGTTGCTTTGGCATCTTTGTCAAAAGTCAAATGACCATAGACGTATGGAACTATTTCTGGGCTCTCCATTCCATTCCATAGGGTCATCCTTATGCCATTACTGTACTTGATTACTGTAGCTTTATAGTAAGTCGTGATATTCACTCCAAAGTGTTATGAATCTGAACTTTTATAATAAACTCCTACCAGAGACTGAGTCTACACACAAAAAGAGGCTTGAGTAATTTCAGTTGAAAATGATTAACTTCAATAAGAGAACCCCTCCCTGATGCCATGCTGCCTTTATTCTTGCTCCTAGCTCCACCCCCAATCTGAGTCTAGATCCAGGGTAGCCCTTGGTGAAAAGGATGCCTCATGTTTCTGCCTATCCCGATAAGTAGGAAATATCTTTTTTCTGTGATTACAGTTGAGAGCAAACTATGTTTTTTAAAAGAGACTTTTTACTAGAAAGTTAAAGTGATACAAAACAGAAGCACCAAAGCTCCTGAGTTCTGAGAGGCCCTAACACACCGACACAAGTCTAGCCACAGATTGGACTGCCTGCCTCAGGTGTCAGGACATCCATCTGGATGTTTTCTCCTCATCTCAGTGGTGTCTGACATTTGAGTAGTTGGATACCTGATCATGCTTTTTAGAAATTGATCTGCAGCGGTTTGATCGCCACCAGCTCATGTCTCATGCCCCATTTTTTTTTTTTTTTGGTGAGGTAGATCAGCCCTGAGCTAACATCCATGCCAATCCTCTTTTTGCTGAGGAAGACTGGCCCTGGGCTAACATCTGTGCCCACCTTCCTCCGCTTTATATGGGATGCCGCCACAGCATGGCCTGACAAGCGGTGGGTCAGTGCGCGCCAGGGATCCGAACCCGGGCCGCCAGCAGCAGAGCAGGCACACTTAACCGCTACGTCACAGAGCCGGCCCCTCGTGCCCCATTTTTACTTGCAGTTTACATGCAGTTTTCCAGACACACTACTTGTCCTTTATACATCTCAACTTGGAACTCATTGCAAAGTCTCAACCTATTAGAGGAAAAGTGAACGGTCCTTTCCATCTCCCACTACTATAATCTCACTCCCTTCCTCAGAGCTAGCTGTTGTTAACAGTTTGGTATATATCTTTTAAATGGTTTTCTGTGTATTTGCCATGCATAGTTATCCAGTCACATTTAATCACATTTGCATGCACATACACAAAAGATTTTTTTTTAAATATAGATGGCATCAGACTATAAATATTTACCAATTTGCTTTCTTCTCTATTGTGTTGTAGCAGGTTGTATTTTCCAAAAGATGGCCACAGCAGTGTCTCCCATCTCACGTGATCTTACAATGTGACTTTGACATTGAGAGAGGGGGTCTATGTCCCCTCCCCTTGAATCTGGGCAGGCTCTGACAACAGCAAGGGGCAGAAGTGACACCGTCTGACTTACAAAGCTAGATCAGGAAAGGCAATGCAGTTTCTCCACTGTTTGATGGAACACCTACTTTTGGAGCCCTGAGTCACCATGTAAGATTGGAATATCCCAAGGCCATTATCTTTCTCTGAAGAAGTCAAGGCAAAGGCCTCATGTAGGTGTAGTCTAGCGCCTCAGCTGAGGTATAACCCCCAGCTCTCGAGTCCTCCCAGCTGAGGCTCCTGACTTCATGGAGAGGAGACCAGCCAGTCTCACTGTGCCCTGTCTGAATCCTGGTTGTTGTTTTAAGTCACTAAGTTTGGAGAGTTATAGCAATAGTAACCAGAGCATATGTCTTAAAAAGTTTTAATGAAAATAGAATCATCTTTATTATTTTAAATTGTTGTATGGAATCCTCAGCAATTTAACGAGTGTATACTATTGAAGGACATAGAGTTTGTTGCCAATTTTTCTACAGACTGTACTCATAGAAGTATGATTGCTGGGTCAACTGGTTTAGAAATCTCAAGAGTTGGTAGACACTGACAATCTCTGTCCTAAATGACTGTGCTGGTATATATCCATCCACATCCCCACAATATTTGACATTATAGGTCTTTAAAAATTTTGCCATTATACTGAACCAAAAACACAACAAAACCTTATTGGTTCGATTTGAAAAATTTATGAGGGAGTTCCTTCTTAATTTCCTCTTCTCTAAGTGACTATTCATATCCTTTACCTATTTTTCTAATAGGTTATTTATCTTTTTATAAGTAATTTATATATAGTAGAGATAAATAATGGCTATATATGTAATGAATGCATATGTAATGACTATATATATAAAATCACTAACTGTGTATGCATATATACATGCAATCAATAATTTGTCAGTTGAAAGTTGACCATTTTCTCCTGGTCAGTTGTCTGTGTTTTAAGTTTGTGTTTATCATACTGAAGTTTAAAATTATGTATACACACTGTTTAATCACCATAACTATATACTGTGGTAGGACAGTTGTCCCCCTCATTTTATCTTCATTTTTCAAAATTTTCTTGGCTATTCTTGTGGGGGGGGGTGTGTTTTACATAAAAAGTTAAGAATCAATTTGTCAATTTCTGTTAAATAAAACTCCTTTGGGTTTTGGTTGGGATTGCATTGAATTTATACATAATTTTAGGGAAAAATTAACATCTTCTTTTGTATCCTTTAGTGATGGCTTAAATTGTTTACCTTATGTGGGCAATCTTGGATATTACTGTTTAAGATTATGCTTAAGTATTTTACAGTTTAGGTTGATATTTAGTAGTTATAAAGAAAGCAATTGGTTTTTGTACATTGATCTTATATTTGGCCCCTTATTAAACTCTTCTATTTATTGTAATAATATTTTTTCAGTGATTTTCTTGGGTTTTCTGAGTGGTCAATCATATTGTGCAAATACTGAGTTCTGTGTCTTTGCAACCTGCATTTTTATTTCATTTCTTTTCTTATTACAATGACCAGGACAGCTAGTACAATGTTAAGTATTACTGGTGATAGTGGACATTCTTGTCTTTTATCTAATTCCTAATTTTAATGATTATACTTCTAGTGTTTAACCTTTAAGTATGATATTTGCTGCAGGTTTCGTATATTTTCTCTTCATTGTTTAATGAGAATGCTTGTATTTTTCTTTTGTGACTTGTTTTATTTTTTCACTTAACAATATGTTGTGAGCAGCTTTCCAAGTCCAGAAGTATATAGATAAATAATTTTAAATGTCTGTATAATATTTCATTGAATATACATACTAAAATTTACTTGCCCAGTCTTCTATTGGTAAACAAATATATACATATTCTCTAGTGGTTAAGATTTGGCACTCTCACTGCCACAGCCCGGGTTCGTTTCCAGTTGGGGATCCACAACGCCTGTCCGTCGGTTGTCATACTGTGCGACTGCATGTTGCTGTGATGCTGAAAGCTATGCCACTGGTGTTTCAAATACCAGCAGGGTCACCCATGGTGACCAATCTACACTGCTTTGAATCTTTTTGTGCAAATAACTTTCACATTTGTTTGATTCTTGGCAGTTGGATAGCTTGTGTTAAAGGTAAGGGAGGTATCTAACTTTATTGCACATTTTGTTACAAATTGAGGGCTGAATTGCCCTCCTGAAAAGATACCAGTTTACACTGTCCTCAGCAGTTATAAGTGTGCCCATTTCCCTCTACCCTTGCCAATTCTGCGTTTTGAGCATCTTTCTAATCCACAAATTTGATAGGTAAAAAAGTGATCATTTGTTGCTTTTATTGGCATTCATTTTAGTATTAGTTTGAGCACTGATCATTTCTCTTTCTTCTTTTGTGAGTTGCCTATTCATATGTTGCCCACTTTTCTATTGGGGCATTCTTTAGTTCTTATTGAATTTTTGTTCATATTTACTTTTCTTCCCTTGAAGAATTTTATTTTATTTATAATATACCTCCCTTCCCTAACCACCAGTCTCCATTTTTTCCTCATGGTTACCAGATTGTTATGTATCCTTCTAGACATACAAAATATATATTCATGCATATATAATTATATCTTTTTAATTTACATAAATTAATTCACACTATCTACATATTGCTTTAAAAAAAGTAATAATATTCCCTATTCATTTATTTAACAAATACTTATTGAGCACCCTCCATA